ATATATATATATATATATATCTGCGACGCCTTCTTCGCAAAGTTGAACTTTGAGCTTTATTGTACTTTTAATCCTCTTATCATCAGGTCATCACCAAGATTACTTCCGTAATATTATCCTTCCGCATTCATTGTTCCGCAAGTTCCATGTCACTTTCTCCTATACCTCAGTCAAATATTTTATTTCTTAGTCAAATATTTAATTCTCTTTCTGTATCGATAAAAACCTCTCCCTCTTTGTCCTCCTTTCGTACTGCTGCCTCGCGTTTCATCGAGTCACTCACAATATTTAAGCGAACTGATGTATTTGATATGTGTGTAAGTGCTTGCAGGCGTTCGCGCGCGCGTGCTTGCGCGTGCGTACATGTGTGTATGACTTTAACTATTGCTTCACCACTCATCGTTGCCTTAGTCCTGATTTTTTGTTACTGATAGCCTTTGTAACAGCAGTTTTGCTAACGCCGAATCATTTGTAAAATTACTATGTACTATAGTTTATTGTCTGTTCCGGAATAATCGTTGATTTGAATGTATTTTCAACGATGGTAAATAAACAGACGTTCATAGAGCCATCATTCAAAACGATGCGTGTATCCCATTCTAATCATGTTTATCTCTGTTGCTGTTTATCTCAGATGGCTCGCGACCCCCCCCCCTCGTGCGCGACACTCGAAAAGGTGACAATCGCGCATACTTCTGCTCAAAAAATCAGTTCACTTCCTGATCCCGATTAATACAGATCATCTATTTGTTGTAACGCTTCGGCCGAAGCCGAAGTGCGAACCACCTCGACGTATTACCGCTGCATTTTGTTACCTAACGTTCTTGGTATATACGCACACCGCGAGGACAGGTAGTAGTGTGCGCGTTGCCTGAGTTTCCGATGAGATTTGCCGACCTCGCTACCGCGCGCAATATACTTTCTTCCGAACTGGGAAACCACTCGATGTCGACTACTAAGTGCGAATTATCGGTGCACGTATCTTAACGAATGCACAAGTTATCGGTCTACAAGCTTCGCTTACCTGTTTACGCGCTTACTCGCTTTGAATATATCTTAAATTCAACGCAACAATAATGATTCGAATCATTACAACAAAGAGAATCATTGTTATTACTCGCCGCCTTGGCGTATGAGCCTTTCAGACAAGATGACACCAGCGTCATAAACACACAATTTTTGGTCCTTCGAGCCGGATCGTCGCCAAGGAAAATTATTGTTTGCTTGAACTCTCGAAAATTCCGAGTTGTGCCTTTCTGTTGGAAATCATGTCGTCTCTCGATGAACTGATAAGTATACAGCAGATGAACGCCATATCTCGCACACTCATTAATTTTAAGAAGCTGGAATAGGCCAAGATGACACGTGCCATAACGCAGCAATGCCTCTCTCAAGGAGATCTTCAGAGATGTCAGGAGCTGAATTGCAAAATTATGCTCGCTGCGGACGAGAAACTGAAGACAACCCATGCATACTTCACTCAGAACTACTTCCTGACATGTGAAGACTGTTTCCACGAAGCTGCCGACTATATGACTGAGGTACTGGACTGTCACGAAGTCCGCGAACCCTATCCCGCTGCACATGATAAGTGATCTTAATAACTCGTTCCGGTCATCGTCGCATCTTTTGAGGATCAACCTGCCGACTTTCGACGGGAGTTTCGATAAATAGGAAAGCTTTTGCGATAAATTTAAATCAATGATCCATGATGATCAGACTTTAACGAATGTCGAGCATATGCATTATTTGTGTTCGTGTGTAAATGGGGATGCAAGTAACACTCTTGACCATCTCATAACCAATGATAATTTCACTATCGCGTAGAATATTCTCGTTTCCCAGTACGATAATACATAAACGTCGCCTTATTATACATTTACAATCGCTTTTCAATTTACTGTCGCTCATGACAGAACGCACGATCTTCGCACGCTTCGCTCAAACCAATAAAGCGAAGTCCTGAGCAATCTCGATTGCGCAACATTGGGATTAGCTTGTTTTTCTAGTTGCACAAAAATTCGATAAGTCATCGCGAAAGGCTTGGGAAACTTAAATTCGGCGATACTATAGATTACCCGCGTTATTGCGAACTTGATCAATTTCTCTCATCTCACATTCGCGCATTCGACGCGATTGCACCCGCGCACACATTGGAGAAGTCACAGTCGACCTCCAAGAGGAAAATTCTTGCCTTATCGCGTCTACCATTCTGTTCTTGTGCCCATTAATCGCAAAGCGAATCATCTATTGTAACAATGTTCTACGTTCCTCAAGCAAACACTATCCCGTTTTGAATTCAGATTTAAAAATCAGAAACGCTGTGTGAACTGTTTCAGTACGAAGCATGCTGGGAAAGATTGTACAAATTCTCGCGCGTGTCGACAGTATAGTAAATGACATCATACGTTGTTACATTTTGATAATTCCATTAAGCCTATCGACATTAAGCAATCCTCGACGTCCGCACGAGTAGCGAAATTGACACCGTCGCTACGCATTTGTTAGCGAAAACCGTAGCGCCGAGCTCCAAAATCTCGCGACCGCGCGCATACGAGTTTATTCGCCTCACAACTTTTTGTCGCGCGCTCAAGGATCTATCTCTACGTTTATCTCCAAATCGCTTACTCAGCCTACGCCTTTCGAAAATTAATCACTCCGTTTCCATTACCGGCATTAGCGAAATGCAATCCATCGTGCGTCACGCTACCCAAATTACGATTACTCCGGCCTCTCGCGACGGACAATACTACGACCGCGTTTATACTTCGATCATTAACGAAATATTTACAAATCGAGTAAATACCGCGTATAATTGGAAACACGTCGCCGGGCTTGAACTTGCTGATCGTAATCCCATAAGTTCGAATCCGATCAACATCATAATGGGTGCCAATCTCTTCGGCATGCTCGTTCTCAACGAAAAGGTTGTGAACATGAACCTACCGCGCAAAATACGATACTCGGCTAGATTCTTTTCGAACCAATAGCCTCGTTTCTGATTACTGAGTCAATTTCCGCGCTTGCGCATTACGGAGTTGTTCTTGAAACTCTCGATCGCGATCTTCGTCGCTTTTGGGAAATTGAGGAAGTGCCTCAAAAAGCTTCTCGGAGCCCTGAAGAGCACCAGTGCGAAGAGCACTTCAGAACCACGCATTCCCATACACTGAATGGACATTATATCGTTTGATTATCGTTTTAAAATGGATCACCTATCTATAGGCGAATTGCGCTCTATTGCTGTTTCAAGCTTTCGCCGCTTGGAACAACGCTTAATTAGAGACCCAATTATCACTTCTGAGTACCGCAAATTTCTCGCAGAGAAACACTCGATCATATGACCAAAAGTCTACCGACAGAAATTGTCAAACCAAAGCAAATTTATTACATTCCGCTGTTTTATATGACAGCAGTGCAACCACCCGCTTACGAGTGGTCTGCAACGCTTCATACTGCACATCAAACATCGTTGAATGATCACATGCTCATTGGCCCTAAACTTAAAAGGGATTTAGCTACTGTCTTAATGCAGTGGCGCCAATACCATTATGTGTTTACAGCCGATATCGCCAAAATGTATCGGCAAATCTTAGTTGATTCCCGAGACACCGACTATCAGCGCATTGTATGGCAACCTATCCTCGGCGGACCAATCACCGATTACCGCCTTTTTACCGTTACTTACAGCACAGCCGCTTCCTACTTAGCCCTTCGAGTCTTAGAACAACTCATAGATGAAGGTGCCGAATTTCCGCTCGCGATTCTCGTTTTACGTCATCAGATATACATTGACGATTGCGCTTTTGGCGCCGACCAGATTGAATTCTTGTTCAAACGCGCGATCAATTAACCGAATTAAAGAAAGAAGGCTTTCGCCTTCGAAAATGAGTAAGCAATGCCACTGCTTTATTGTCCGAGCGGATCATGGTTTAGCCATTTATAAGGTTCTTCAAGACGATGAGCACCTTAAAGTCTTAGGAATACTCTGAAATCCTAAGCTAGATTTCAATTCCGCGTGACCGTATAGTCATCATCCGAATGAGCCATTCTATCGACTATCGCTAAGTTTTTCAATCCTTTAGAATGGGCTACTCCCGTTAGTATTACCGCCAAAATTCTCATGCAACGACAGTAGCCCCTCCAATGCCGATGAGATGACGAAATTCTTAGCCAATTTCTTAATTGTTGGTTCAATTATCATCAACGACTTCCGTGTCTCAATGTCATTAGCATTCTGGATTACTTATGGATCTCATATTCTATTAGGTGTACAACTTTGCTTCCGCCGTTTTCCTATAGATGGCTTTAGCGGTAAGTGGTGGTCGAAATAAATAGATCATAGACGTCATACAATAAACTTGGGCATCTGTCAACATAACCCCATAGAAACATTAGTCGATTTGTGTCTGCATCATAAAGTTATTCTCGATTGAAAATGTCAGTTTACGAGCCAAATTCTCGTCATTTGCGGGAGGTTTTAATTTTTTGCTTCAATATGAAGAAATCTGCGGCTGAGGCTCATCGAATGCTCTCAAATACTTATGGTGAGGCCGCTATTAGTGAAAGAACGTGTCGTGAATCGTTTCAACGCTTCAAGAACGGTGATTTTGACGGTGATTTTCCAAGGTCATGCTCTGTATTTGGTGGGACCAACTCGGCGTAGTGTATTATGAACTGTTAAAACCGACTGAAACAATCACAGGCGATCGGTATCGAACGCAATTGATGCGTTTGAGCCGAGCATTGAAAGACAAACGGCCGCAATACAACGAGAGACACGATAAAGTGATTTTGCAGCATGACAATGCTCGACCCCATGTTGCGAAAGTGGTCAAGACATACTTGGAAACGTTGAAATGGGAAGTCCTATCCCACCCGCCGTATTCTCCAGACGTTGCTCCCTCTGACTATCACTTGTTTCGATCAATGGCACACGGCCTGGCTGACCAGCACTTCCGGTCTTATGAAGAAGTAAAAAATTGGATCGATTCATGGATAGCCTCAAAAGATGATCAGTTTTTTCGACGCGGGATTCGTACGCTACCCGAAAGATGGGAGAAAGTAGCGATGGACAATACTTTGAATCATAAATGTATAACCAGTTTTTTACAATAAAGCCTCGAATTTCGGAAAAAAAACGGCGGAAGTAAAGTTGTACACCTAATACACTGCACCCTTCGTGTGTTTTCCGACGTATCGACTGCGGCTTTCGCTGCCACAGTGTATCTTCGTACCATTAATATAGATGGCAATCACTCTCTCTCTTCTCGCCGCCAAATCAAAAGTGGCCCCTCTTAAAACCATCAGCGTCTCGCGATTGGAATTATTTGCTGCGTTGCTTCTCGCTCGCTTGATGCATTTCACGCGCTCAGTGCCCCAACTTCCGAATCTCGAATATCACTGCTAGACGGACTCCAGCATTACATTCGCCTAGCTGAATCAGTCACCTTCCCGATAGAAAAACTTTTGTCGCCAATCGCGTTTCGTGCAATCACTCCTTCCCGGAGTTTCGTGGCGTCATATTCCGACGCACACCAATCCCGCGGACTGTGCGTCTCGTGGTCCCCCGATCTTTTCCAGATACATGCTCTATAGTGGTCAGGTCCTTCATAGTTGCATCATCCTCCCGAGTCCTAACCTTCGATACTCCCCGATGTTCCTCTCGAACAACGCTCAAAACCTTCAGTATATGCCTTGCATGCTACGCTTAATTTGGGATCTCTCATCGCGTTATTCTTCGTGGCCAAAATTGCTACGAACTACCGCTTATCTGTATTTTTTCTAAATCGACGCTCTAAAAATCCGCAAGCGAATACCGCGACTTTGCTCCCCGAAGAAATTCAGAATGCCAAACGCTACTGGCTCAAAATCATGCAGTCAACCATGTTTCCTAATGAGATCGCGACTCTCACATAAGTGCCTGGTACCAAAGAACAGTCCGCTCTATACTCATTCTTATATGGACGAGAATGGACTTGTATTCAGGGAAGACTCCGTCGAAGACGGAAGACTTGTTGTTCCGGGAGCGAGAAATCCCATCGTCTTATACCGCTATTAGTACTCATTATCCAGTATCATCATCTTCGAATGTTGCTTGCCGGTCCTCAATTAACGCTCGCGTCAGCATTACGCCACGAATTCTGGACTCTCCGGGCCCGTGCCACCATTCGATCCATTCTTTATAAATACCATGCCCGCGTGAACGCGCCGACGTACCTGTCGAACTTATGGGCGATCTCCCAGTTGCGAGAGTCAACCTCATCGCTCGCGCCTTTGTCCATACCGGCGTTGATTACAGATCTGATCGCTGTCCGAATGACTCCCGATCGAGGACATAAATCGCAAAAGACTTACATCGCATTATTCGTATCACAACCAAGGCTCTACTTATAGCTCGTCAGTGATTATATCTCTCTTACTTTTATCGCAGCGTATTAATGATTTGTTTCTCGTCGAAGACTACCGACATCTATATATTCCAATAACGGAACCACGTTTCACGGCACCGAATTGTTCAATACACATGCGAAAGCAATTCGCGATTCTAACTTCCGAAACCGACAGACGGAACCGCGTGGCATTACCCCTTGCGTTGCCGCACTTCGGCGGTCTGTGGGAGGCCAGCGTTAAAAGTGTTAAGCATCATTTAAAACGATGCATCGGTCTCCACGCTAACTTTTGAAGAGATGTCAATGTGCTCTTCTGTCAGATCGAGGCATGTCTTAATTCACGCCCGATCTCTCGTTTCTGATAATCTCGACGATTATTACGCTCTGACTCCCGTCATTTTTTGATCGGAACCTCTCTTCGCTCCCGCCGAACTAAGCGTGCTTGACTTAAACACACATAGACTTTCGCATTGGCAAATAGTTCAACAAATAACCGAAGATTTTTGGAGGTCGTGGTCTGGTGATTACTTACGTACTTTCAACAACGCTCAAAATGGCGCGTCGTCCAGTGACTGGCCAAAGTCGGCCAAAGTCGTTCTCGAGCGTAATCCTCTGATTCCACCGAGCCAATGGAAACTTGATCGGATCACGGCGTGTCATCCAGGTGATGACAAATTAATTCGCGTCGTAACTGTAAAAATCGGACGTTCCAAGTACAGGTGACCAATTGTAAAACTTTATTTTCTATCCGTCACGATCAATATATATAACGATGAATCTAAAGATTCCGTCATGGCGAACGGAGTTTCCGTTGAACATACTTGATGTTACTCGCGAACCGTCAACATAGATTGTATTGCGTTACGAATTTGTATTCTGTATTAACTCATTTTCATTGTTATACCATATTTTGTATCTTGCGCGCTTTAATGCGAATTCTTTCGAATGCATACATTCAAAGCGGGCGAAATTTATGTTCCGGAATAATCATTGATTTGAATGTATTCTCAGCGACGGTGAGTAAACAGACGCTCATAGAGCTGTCATCGTTCAAAACATGCGTGTATCTTGTTCTAATCACGCTGTTTATCTCAAATGGCATGCGACCTCCTCCCCCTATGCGCGACATTCGAAAAGATGACGAGGTCGCGCAAAAAATCAGTTCACTTCCCAATCCCGATTAATACGGATCATCTATTCGTTGTAACGCTTCGGCCGAAGCCAAAGTGCGAACCACCTCGACGTTCTGTCGCGTATTACCGCTGCATTTTACCTAACGTTCTTGATATATACGCACACCGCGAGGGCAGGCAGTAGTGTGCGCTTTGCCTGAGTTTCCGATGAGATTTGCTAGCCTCGCTACCGCGCGCAATATACTTTCTTCCGAACTGGGAAATCACTCGATGTCGACTACTAAGTGCGAATTACCGGTGCACGCATCTTAATGAATGCACAAATTATTGGTCTACAAGCTTCGCTTACCGCTCGCTTTGAATACATCTTAGATTCGACTCAACAATAAAGGTTTAAATCATTACAACAAAGAGAATCGTTGTTATTACTCACGGGTCTTGGCGTACGAGCCTTCCAGACAAGATAACACCAGCATCACAAACACACAATAGTATCATATTTTGTTTATATCTATTATTCTGTTAATATATAATCTTTTTCATAGAGCTTTGCTATAAACTGAATTAAATTTAAAAAAAAAAAGATTTTAAACAGATCAATTTTAATGCTTACATTATTATAACTCTTTATCTGTCACAATTCCTGTACACATTGCAATAACAATTTTTAATTAAATATAAAATTATAATTTTTTTTTCTGTGTTGCATAATCAATTAATATGATTTTTTTAAAGGAACTAAAAATGTGCTTAAGTGAACTTACTATAATAGATGACACATTGGAAGCTCTCGAAGTGCCAAAGGAATACCAAAGGCTACATAACTGGATAATTCGAATAATAATCGGATGGATTGTACTCATTTTTTATTATATAGCATATGATAATTTTATGTACAATGTTTTTCTTAATTACGACATAATTAACTCATGGCGTCAGACGTTATATAATTTTCCGCTCACATATCTATCATGTGTTATTATTTTAAATGCTCTGATTTCTACAGCTATCTTTGGGTTATTATAGTATTATACATGTGTATACATTTACTTTGTAAATTATTTTTAATGACATTGTGCGTCAAAATGTTTACAGTGTGAAACACTTTTACCGTTAATTTTGCCTTTTTTATGACAACATATGTCAAGATCAAGTTCATTGGAAATGAAAATTCTGACCATATGTTTATTTGATTATATTACTCAA